GTCCTGTAAGCTTCTTGTACTTTCATAGGCATATCCTTCTGTAGGTTGGGGAAGTTTTCTTCTATGATTTTGTTGAATATGTTTTCTGTACCTTTGAGCTGTATTTCTTCACCTTCTTCTATACCTATTATTCTTAGGTTTGGTCTTTTCACGGTGTCCCATATTTCCTGGATATTTTGTGTTAGGGATTTGTTGGACTTGAGGTTTTCTTTGGTTGATGAATATATATCCTCTAGCGAGTCTTCAATAGCTGAGATTCTCTCTTTTGTCTCTTGGATTCTATCAGTTATACTCACGTCTTTAGTTCCTGATCGTTTATCCAGTCGTTCCATTTCCAGCCTCGCCTCATTCTGTGTTTTCTTTATTGTGTCTAATTCAGCTTTCATGCTTTGAACTGTTTCAAGAGCTTCCTTCACTTGTTTGGTTGTTTTTTCTTGGGTTTCTTTAGATTCTTTAAGAGATTTGTTTACTTCTTGAATTTTTTGGTTTGTCTTTTCCTCCATTTCGTGTAATTTTTTTATTTGCTTTTTCTTCTATTTCTTTAAGGGATTTTCTTGTTTCCTCTTTAAAGGTCTCTGTCATCTTGCTGAGATAATTTTTGAGTTCCGTCTCTTCTTCATGCACTGTGTTGGGCTTTTCAGATCTTGCTGGAGTGGAGTCCCTAGATTCTAGTGGTGTCATATTGGTCTTTCTGATGTTGAGCGAGTTCTTATTTTGTCTTCTTCCCATATCTTTTTCCAGTGAGTGCAGGTGGGGTCTCTCTATCTCCTCTTGTTACCTAGTAGTGTGTGGGGGCCAGGAATTCAATGTCCACAGCTCTGGATGGTCTTGCCTCTCCTGGTAGTCTCCTCACTCTGAAAGAGTTAGGCCTCCATAGGGGTCAGGTGTGTGGGGGCAGGACAGGAAGTAAGAGGGGTGTTTCCAGGCTCTGGGAGTTCCTCACTGCCTGGGCAGGTCTACCCCAAGCAGGAGCAGGCCCGGGGAGATGGGGTGGATGGGGCTTTGGAAGGGATTTGGGTAAGAGCAGTGCATCACTCGCCTTGTTGCGATCGGTCGGTGGAAAGGGAAGGAAGAGTAGTCTGTACCCAGATTCAGGGAGCTCCTCCCTGCCTGGGCATGTCTACTCTAAGCATGCACAAGCCTGGGGAGATCTGAGTGAATGTCGCTTTGGACAGCAGTTGGGTAAGAGCACCTCATAGTGATCAGTCGGCGGAAAGGGAAGGAACTCTCTAAGTGTTCTTGAAACACATTGAAAATACAACAAAGATTTCGTGGAATTTCACACAAGGTTACCAGTGATGACTCAAGTGTTAAATCAAGTAACAGTGACAGGAAGGAAAACGAATCTGCCCACAGTAGACTGGACCCTCCTATCACTCAAGGAAAAGCCTCACCAACAAACTCACCTACCCACACATACCCACAAGCCAATGAGATGCAAGCAACTCCTCAGTTGTGAGGCCCTTTTCCCAGGATACATCAAGTTGACAACTAAAGCTAACTATGACACTAAGCAACTTTGCTTAACTATTCTCAGTCATTACTTTCAAAGGTGAATTATAGTTTTCAGTTATTTTGTTTATTTTTCTGTGTATGTTTTCATGTTTCCATTTTGAAATATAATTTCTCTAGAGGCAGATAGAATGCCTCTTCTCCCATCTCACCTCTAGCACCTACTGGAGTACCTGGCAGATATAAAGCTGCTTAATAAATTTTGCAGAAAGCTTAATTTATTTAAGTAATTATTTTAATTGAATTGTTATCCCACATTTATTAAAATCACCTTAAAGAAAAATACACTATAGACCAGTTAAGTGCATTAACACTTAATAGATAGGCCAAAATAGCAGTATATAATGGTTATGTTAGAAACAAGCAACTCTCATGGGAGCATGTTTTGCTTGAATTCTGGCATTCCCTTAGTGAGTTCTAATAATTCTTGCCTTTTCCTGAACTTTTAGATGCCACATTTGCTGTTCAGTGGGTGCAGCCACAGCCTTTACTGTTCCTTAGTCCTCCTGACATCCAGATAAAGTGCCATAATTTAAATGTTTTCACGTGAACCTCACAATGAATTCTGCTGTTATTACATGTTAGGTAAAACAACGGTAATCCAACTGGGGTGATTGTTGTCATTATTGTAATAACCAGTGGTTTAAAAAAGTTCTTTCCAGATCTTGGCCTCTCAACTTCAAAATCTCTATTACCCATTGAACTGTTTCTGTGTCTTTCAGTATAATTTCTGTCAACCAATCCTGTGATGTTTGGTATTCAGTTACTTGAGACTGTAGAACATCTTAAGCAGTGATCTAATTTATTCTCTTGCTTCCAGGTGTGAAACTTGTTTCAAAGATAGACAGGAAGCTACACCACTGTGCCTTTTACTGTCTTCACATGGGGAGAATTCAGACACCATGATATAAGCCAGTGATAAATTTACAACAATACAAAACTCACTTATGTAGAATGTAGCCAGCCATTCTTACACCATTCTTCTCAGAAAGAATAGACAACTATAGGCTGGTAGACAATGCTAGGGTAATGAATAACTATTAGGTAAAGTTTACTCAAGCTGTTTGTCCCTGACCACATCTTTGGGGAAGCAGTCACAGGTCTACAGCAGGTGGACATAGCAGGAGTGTGTCCTGTTACAGAAGCTCTGAACTAGCATGGCCCAACAGGCCCATCCCTGACACCCGAAGCTAAAACTGGCCAAGTCTTGGGCCTACTAATATTGGAGCCTTCTCTTTTAAGTAGTTTCCAACATTTTAAAGTGGGTCTTTCAGCACTGTATTACTTTAATTCTTGAAAATGAATCTAAAAGAAATTGTATTTTCAACATCTATTTAAATAAAAAAATATGGCTAATCCAAATTTGACAGTCACTTCAAACAGAACTATTAAATAGATACACCTGCAAAACAGCTGGTCATTGTGAGAGCCATTATGGTTCTAACTCTCGTTTTTTCAATGTACATTCATTTACATATATATTCTAAGCATGCATTTATTTTGTCTGCTGTGAGTTTTTAGAAAAGGATTCAATTGTTCTCTAAGACACTCCCTGAATTTTGGGTATTAAAACAACCTTTCTTTTATGAACTGGTAACAGGAAGATCACAGTTTCAAGCTGGAGTGACTGAACAAGAGGTCCACTGGCCACGTACTTTATCTGCATAGAGATGTAGCAAATGAACAAGGTACCACCCCCATCACTGAGAAATGAAGGCTGAAGCAGAGTTTTTATTCCTTTTTCTCAGTATACCACAACTCTTAAGTTAAGATACATATATGGTTTGACTCTAGAAGCCAACTTTTTGTTGTTTTCTGGTGTGATTTGAAATTGTTTCTATTAATGTTCCTCACTGGGTGAATTTTAATGGTCTGAGAATCTCAATATCTGAGAACAATTAGACTTTCCTGTGTGCTTGTTGTATCTGTTAATGTGCTCACATAAGCTGTGTGGGATTGAGTGGATAGGCATGGAAAGCCCTGTCCAGACTCCTGCATTTTCTGTGGGGTCACCTCAGTGATGAGCTAGGAAGGCAAGTGAGAGTCTAAGGTGACAATAGATTCTTCCACCATTGTTGACGGAAGGACAAGTGGGCCAAGGAGGGGTTGTGCGGCTCTTACTGTAGGGGGTAATCATCTTAAATACCTCCCCTAAAATAACACTCCCACCCCAAAAAAATCTCACCACGATAAGAAAATAAATGTCTCTGGGTAGCATTCAGTGAGGAAATATGGCTGCAGTCCAGGAAGCGGTTTATAGAAACCACACCTAGCTGAGCATTCCCAGTCCAGATGCAAAGTCTGGTTACTGTTTGGATCATCTTGAAGGTCCCCGGGGAGGAGGTAGGCTCCTCTACTTTGCTGATGGTATCAACAGAGCACAGTTCTTGGCAGTTGAGTCTCTCAAACTGGTACATCCTTCACCTAATACAAGGGCAATGCAGCCTTATCGGGCTTGGTGGTGCGACAATGGATGGCTGAGATCTCAGAATTAACCTGTGGGTGCTCTAGCTCATCCTAATACAATGCAAATATTTGAGGGTGAACTCTTTACTAGAGTTGGCTTGAGTGAACTTTAGAAGCAATCACTCCATCCTGCCAGCACAGAGAAAAACTAACATATGTAAATTCAAAACCCCAGGTAATATTGATTCTCCAGTCTCACAGAAAGATGAACTGTCAAACAGTTTCTCATAGTTTTAGAAAAGCCTGCTTTTCAGTCACCACTCCTATTTATGTGAACAAGTGTCTCCACCAATGAAGGCAGTTCTTTGGTTTGGGGCCCTGTGCTCTCCTCTGGGGATCAATATCTTTACTCAAATCTAGCCGCACTGTGTTTATTGATACAACACTAGTATACTTCATAATGTGTTTCTCCCATCGCAAAAAGGCACTGCCTAAAATGGTGCTTTATTATTCATCACACATACCATTGACAGGCTTCTAGGTGCCAGCCACGATAGCAAGAAATTCACACATCTTATCACATTTATTTGTTCTAACAACTCCGTGAGACAGGAACTGTATTCTCATTTTATAGACACAGAAATGAAGCAGACATCAGAGGTCAGGAGCCAACTTGGGATTTAAACAAAGCAGGTCTTTAACTCTTTTCCCCCTGCACCAAGATGCTCCCTTTTCAAGCAATTCTTCTCTAAGCAGGGGAAATTATAAGACTACTGCTTTGCACTTCGCAGCTCCACAGATATCTTGTTACTTACCCAACACAGGTTCTGTTCAGGACTGAGTCTGTAAGTCTGCAGTCTTGTTGTCTGATAGATATCAGTAGGGATTCCAGACCCAAGGCCCTGGAGATTTGATTCTTACAGCCAGCAACAAGCAGGTACTGGCAAAACTTACCCGTAAACTTGTTTCAGGGAACAAAATTTGTCATTTTAGCAGCACAGCTAGTGAGTTGGAAGGATTTCAGTTGAGAACTTTAGTTCCATTGAAAGGCACCTTGATTGGGACTTTGGAAGGCTGTGCTCAAGGTAGAAGAATTGGGCCCCTAGGTCTATAAAACCAAAGGTCAATTTTGGTGCACAGAAGGTCCCACTGAGTTGGACTGCCATTGGTCCTCCATTGTACTGACTGGTCTTCATTAAATAGCTCCATGTTTCATTCTCAGAGCAGGAAATCTTGATACTGGTCTCGACAATTCCACATGATACAGATTATGCCTGAGGGCAAGATTTTAAGATAAACTTGATGAAGTAACCGATTTTACATGCATTTTGAAATTTATTTCAAGAAATATTTCTTGTGTCTGTACTATGTGTCAGGCTTGTTCTAGGCTCTGTAGCAACTCAGTAAACATAGGAAACCAAAGCCCTATTGCTTGTGGCCAGAGTTTGCATCCTATGCCAGATACCAGAAGTGCTAAGGAGGAAATAAATCAGAAGTGGTCAGGGAGGCATGCAAGGGGTGAGGGAGCAAGCTTTATGGGAATCAGAGGAAAGAGAATTTCAGGCAAAGGGAACAGGGAGTGTGCTGGCAAGTTGGAGAGTTGGCAAGGTGACTGGTGTGGATAGAGTGAGCAATGGGAAAGCAATACTTTGCCAGGATGGAGAGGTGATGGGAGCTATGGGCCTTCCAAGCTGTACCTTAAACTCTGGCTTCTTCTTTATGTTGGGCAATGTGCTAAGCAGTCTTAAACAGAAAGGATTTTGCTGGATCCTTCATCTGCTTGGTTGAAAAATAGATGTTGCTAAGGATTATGGATAATGTAAGTACATTCATTCCCTGTGCTGTATAACAAGTTGCTAGAAACTGACCAGATTAAAATCAATACCCATTAATCATATCAGTTTCTAGGGGCTAGGAGTCTAGGCTTGGCTTAGCTGAGTCTGATTAAGGCGTAGACAAAGTGTTATCTCAGGAGGGGGTCACATTTCGGGGCTCAGCTAAGGAAGATTGGCTTCCAAACCTACGAGGTTGTTACCAAAGTTTATAGTTTCGACGATTTAACCATGTGATTCACTGTAGCCACCTTTTGGAAATCGTAGCGGTGGATTCCAGCCCCCACAGAGTGCAGAGAGTCCAGAGGTGAGCTGATTCGGCCCCTAACTTGGGCCCAACTTCCTCCTGCCCGCCCTGGCAAATCCCGCCCTAGGATCTGCAGGCAGACTGAATCGGTCCCTGAGGACCCTGGGATCCTGTCTCTGCTGAGATCGCTGGGTCATTCCAGCCCCCACAGAGTGGAGAGTCCAGAGGTGAGCTGATTCGGCCCCTAATTTGGGCCCAACTTCCATCTGCCCACCTTGGCAAACCCTGCCAAGGGATCTTCAACAAGACGACTCAACCCCTGAGGACAAAGTAACCCAGAGTCTGCTGACATCTCTGCTCCAGTGTTGCTCTCATCCACCTGGAGAGCGAGTGCCTCAGACCTGCCTACACCCAACTTGAAACCCTTCAGAGTATCAAAGCCAATTGCACACACCTGAAGAGAACACCGGACCCATACACACCAGGAAAGGAAGTGACACCAACTGTATCCACTGGAACAAGAGATGGGAAGACGATAATATAAATACATCCAACAACAGGAAAATCAATATGACACCACCAGAGCCTAGGGACTCTACACCAGCAAGACATGAACATCCCAACACAGAAGTAGAAGAGAGCAACCTTAAAAACAACTTCATAGAAATGATAGAGAATCTCAGAGAGGAAATCAGAAAATCCTTCAGAGAAATGGAAGAAAAGACAAACCAAAAGATGCAAGAAATCAAGGAAAGCCAAAAAAAAAAAAAGCCAAGAAAATACAATTAAACAGCTGAAAGAAACAGTTCAGGACCTGAAAACTGAATTAGAGACAATAAAGAAAACACAAACTGAGGGAATGCTGGAAGTGGAAAAGCTTAGTAAACAATCAGGAACCACAGATGCAAGCATAACCAATAGAATACAAGAGATGGAAGACAGAATCTCAGACGCTGAAGAAAAACTAGAGGAAATAAACTCGTCAAACAAAGAAAATCTGAAGTCTAACAAATCCATAACACAAAATATTCAGGAAATTTGGGACACCGTGAAAAGACCAAACCTAAGGATAATAGGTATAGAAGAAGGTGAAGAAACCCAACTCAAAGTTGCAGAAAACATATTCAACAAAATCATAGAAGAAAACTTTCCCAACCTAAAGAAAGACATGCCAATGAAAGTACAAAAAGCCTACAGAACACCAAATAGAGTGGACCACACAAAAGAAAGTACCTTCATCATAAACTCATTAAAACACCAAATGTACAGAATAAAGAAAAAAATATTAAGAGCAGCAAGGGAAAAAGGCCAAGTAACATATAAAGGCAAACCTATCAGAATTACACCAGACTTCTCCATGGAAACTCTGAAAGCTAGAAGGACCTGGATAGATATTCTACCAACTCTGAGAGAACATGGATGCCAGCCCAGACTACTATACCCAGCAAAGCTTTCAATCATTATAAATGGAGAAAACAAGATATTCCACAACATAACCAGATTTAAACAATATGTAACCACTAATCCAGCCCTACAGAAAGTACTGGAAGGAAAACTCCAACCTAAGGAAATTAACTACACTCGTATAAACATAGGCAATAGATAATCCCACTCTACAAAAACACAAAATAAAAGGCAGGGTAAATCCACATACAATACCAGTACCAACAACAAACCAAAAACGAACAAGAATAAACACTGAATGGAACTTAATGTCCCTCAATATTAATGGTCTTAACTCGCCTATAAAAAGACACAGGCTAACAGATTGGATACAAAGACAGAATCCATCCTTCTGCTGCATACAAGAAACACACCTCGAATTCAAAGACAGACATTACCTCAGAGCAAAGGGTTGAGATAAGATACTCCAATCAAATGGACCCCAGAAACGAGCTGGAGTAGCTATCCTAGTATCTAACAAGATAGACTTTAAACTGAAATCAATCAAAAAAGACGAAGAAAGTCATTTCATATTCATCACAGGAAAAATCCATCAGGAAGAAGTCTCAATGCTAAACATCTATGCCCCAAATACAAAGGCACCAACATTCGTGTAAGAAACATTATTAAAACTCAAATCACAAATAAGGACTCACACAGTTATAGTGGGAGACTTCAACACCCCACTCGAACCACTGGACAGGACACCAGACAGAAACATAACAAAGAGACACAGGAACTAACAGAAGTTATGACCCAAATGGGATTAACAGACATTTATAACACTTTCTATCCAAACACAAAAGAATATACCTTCTTTTCAGCATCACATGGAACCTTCTCAAAAATCAACCAAATTCTCAGCAACATAGAAAACCTTAACAGGTACAAAAAAATTGAAATAATCCCCTGTGTCTTATCACACCACCATGCTTTAAAGATAGAAATCAAAAACAAATCAAAGTGCAAAAAAACTACCAACTCATGGAAATTGAACAACATGCATTTGCAACATTCCTGGGTCAAGGAAGAAATAAAGAAAGAAATTAAAGACTTCCTAGAATTCAATGAAAATATTGACACAACTTATGGGACACTTTGAAAGCAGTACTAAGAGAAAAGTTCATAGCTCTAAGTGCTCACATGAAGAAACTAGAAAATGGCCACACCAGAGATCTGTCATCACAGCTGAAAGCTCTAGAAAAAATGGAAGCAAATTCACCCCGGAGGAGCAGACGCCAGGAAATAATCAAACTGAGGGCAGAAATCAATAAAGTCGAAACAAAACAATTCAAAGAATCAATATAACAAAGAGTTGGTTCTTTGAGAAAATCAAAAAAATAGACAAACCGTTATCCAAATTGACCAAAAAGCAGAGAGAGCTCATGCAAATTAACAAAATCAGAAATGAAAAGGGG